TTTGTTGGATTCAAGATACAAGATGTTATTTAATTGCACTGGCGTAAAGACCTGCAACTTCAGCATACTGAATGCTTGCTACGCATTCTTATTGTTAGCAATGATTTCCTAGGCAGCAGTATTCACTATGTAACTCGTGACGACAACACATGAATCCCATTCTGTGTTACATTTATATCTGTAAACTCCTGCTATACTTGATTGTTTAACTGTGTTGGAACAGAAAAAACAATCAAAACTATTGATTTAAAAAAGCAGATTTCTGAAGTCAGCACAGCTTTACCCCATTCACTAAGCTAGGTAAACATTTGCTTTGCAATTCGAAAATTCACTTTTAAAGTGAACATGCTCTACCTTTTAGTACATCAACCCCACCATCTTAAGGCATTCACCAGTAAAATGTACCACTATACTGAATAGGGCATGTCTCCAGAGTAATACAATTGATGAAGAAAGCAAAGGTGGAAATATGAGTGCGTGTTGAAGATGTGAACATAAGCACAGTAAAAAAAAAAATGTATATGGTCCAATGTCAAATAGTAGTAAGAATTGATAGCTTGAGATGTGTGTGAATCTCAATTTATTTGTATTTGGAACTAATTTCGGAAGGTTAACATCATGAGGCTTTACACACTGCTGGAACAGAAGCATTGTCTTTTCCCACAAAAGCAGGATCTCCTTAATGCAGAAGTAAACCACTATGTGAAGGGTGTGTTTTTGCCATTATGCACAAGTATGTACAGCATGTATTTTCCATATAAGGGTGCCCTTCTCCAGAGCTGTCAGATCCATCGCTGGTCTCCTGCTCTGTCTCTCGCTGCTGCTACCATGTTTCCCTGAAAATAAGACACTGTCTTTTTGGCTAAAAAAAATCACACTAGGTCTTATTTTCGGGGTAGGTCTTATTTTTTTTGTACAACAATCCACACTTATTCATGTAGAAAAGTCTACATGTATTCATGTACAAAAATATGGTGATCAGGGCAATCAGGGGTGCCGTACCTTTCCAAGAGCAATTTGCTAACCAATCGCTGACCAGAATGAGCGAATCACACTTTCACTATTGATTCCCCACAGGCGGAGTGCATTTGGTATCACTCCGCCTGTGACAGGAGCCGGCGCTATAGAGGAGGCATCGGCTTATGCGGCTCTGCTCCCTCCGGTGCCGCCTCCCTTCCTCTAGCGTTAGCTTTGTTGGCACCGCTGATTCTCTCCTGCCTCTCCCACAGCTCTTCAAGTTCCCCCTTATGCCACCACCGACCCTGGGAATGGTCACAACTAGGTCTTATTTTCGGTGTAGGTCTTATATTTTAGAAATTCCCAAAAATAGTTCTAGGTCTTATTTTCGGGGTAGGTCTTATTTTCGGGGAAACAGGGTATCTCTGCCACCAACACTTCCAGATTCTGTGTGATTCCTCTTAAGCCATTGGGTGGCCACTGATTATGTAACTGCTGCACATGTGTACATCTGGCCCATTCACAACATCGTAGAATGCGCTATACTGTGTAAACAAAAAATTGCTGGGGGAAAGAGGGAGAATTGTTTTGACAGAAGAGGCTTTGCATGTCTCCTCCAAAAATGTATACCTTCCATCAATTTTCTATGTTTTACACTTTACTTCCACTTTAAAAATGCATCTGCACCAGAGTGTCTAATACCAGAGTAGCTCTTTGACTATTAAAGGAATTGTAGAGAGAGGAGAAAGCTGCTCTTAGCAGATATTCTCCCCACTATATGCTGGTAGTGCGAATATTATTATTATTATTATTATACAGGATTTATATAGCGCCAATAGTTTGCACAGCGCTTTACAATATAAGGAAGACATTACAGTCACAATACAATGGTAAGGAGGGCCCTGCCCGTGAGGGCTTACGATCTAAAAATAGCGGAAGGGACACAGGTTTCACAACCAGTAAAAAACACATACAAGGAACACCTTTTCTAGGTGGAAAAGATATAAAGGACCCATGAAGAGCCTATTAAAGTGGATGCAGGAACCAGCAAAAAAACATACCTTCAGATGTGCCCATTTGTGAAACTCTCCAATAGGATACTTAACAAGGGGGAGCTGTCCCTTATATCTAAAGGTCTAGCATTTTGTCCAACAACAAGTTTCCATCAATTTGATATTGAAGTAGATATGTATAAATTAGAATGAACCTTGAAACCTTCAGGGCCCCGGTGCAAGAAACCATGAAGGCCCCCCCCCAACCACCATGGCACCGCATGGTTAACAGGAAGGCTGCCGAGGTCCCCAGCAAGTGCGGGACCTCAGGCAGCCGCTTGTTTAAAATTTTAGTGCCGGTGTTCTGTCAAGAACGCCGACCCAGTATCTGCGTTTACGTACAGGCGGGATTAACGAGGAAACCGGCATTTATTTACAAAGTATTCGTTTGTAATGGGTAATTGTGACTGTTAATAATATACCATCCGTGGCAGTAAATGATGGGTGGAATATTATTAACAGTCACAAATAACAAATTAAACGAAATACTTTGTGAATAAATCCCAGTTTCCTCGATAATATTGGTCTGTGCGCAAGCGTAGATGCTGAGGTCGGCAAATTCGACTACGCCGGCGTTCTCGGCAGAACACCGGTATCTGCGTTTAGTGTTGGGGCATTTTCACAAGTATGAGTACTCATGAAAATGCCAAGTATTGGCACTGGTGTATCCCTACTTAAAAATGTAATGCATTGCTGGGACTTGTAGTCCTACATAGTTGGAGCTATTCTGCATTTCTGTATAATGACTATACAGCAATGCAGAATACCGCCAGCTATGCAGGACTACAAGTCCCAGAAATACATTATAATAAAAGTCAGCACTACAGAATATCACCAGCATGACCAATCAGAAAACCCGGAGGCGAGTCATTACGTGCCGCCCGGCTTCCTGGAATGGTTAGGAAGCCAGGCTGCCTAGCAACAAGTGAAGCCGGCTTTCTAGCCAATCAGGAAGCCGGAAGGCAGGCCATAACCCACCTCCCAGCTTCCTGCACTGCACTGCTACTGGAAGTTCCGGTATAGGAGGTTAATATCTGAGCATTTGGGCGAGTACGAGTACTCGCCAAAATACTCGGTATTGGCACTGATACCGATACTCGATACTGCATCCCTAATCCATTTGAAGATGGCTTAATCATACCAATCTACACTCTTGTAGATGGGTGTTATGGTTCAATAGTTTAGCATAGTAGTCAGCACTTTGGAACAGGTTGACCATTTTAGATATATTATGCATGTACTATATATCTGGGAAACTGTGTTTAATCATCTCCAGCACGATATCATCAACTATTTTGGCTTTTTTACTTTGTGGGTGTTGAATTTTCTCAGTTCTGGCAGAGTAACTTGTGTGTCTAGTGGGTTTTGGAAATCCTTGACTTTTTTTTTATCTCCATAGCATAAGAAGCTAATGAAGTTGTTGAGACAGATGCTGCCATTTGGGTTGTTTTTCTTTGTTCGGAAGTTAATGTCATTCTATTTCTCCCAGAAAGACATGACTAGACTTGTAAATCTGCAAGTTCAAACCCAAGGCAGACACCATTCTATGGTTTGAGTATCAATTACAGTATCAAAGATGATACCCTAGATGTTGATTTCCATTGAGGAACCTTTAATTTTCTTCAGAGCTAAAGACACCCCAAAAGACTCAACAACTTACAGTATTTAACGGTGCATAAAAATACCGATCAAACCTCAGAACCTGGTGGGCCTACGCAAAACAAAATGATTCAAGTAATGGTTGATCAAACGCACCTATACCCCCCTCACACACAAATTGTTTAACAAAAGTACTAAACTTTTTTTTATAAAAAGACAAGAAATATAACAACTCTATATCAGGGAATGATTGATGTAGTATCACCTCTTCCAGTGGCAACCCTGATCAGAGCTCGTACAGAGCCAGCAGTCTACTTGAGAGCCTGCACACAGATCGCACAGTGCTCACACAGAGCCCACAGCCCACCTAGAGCCCACACAGTGCCGGCAGCACACCTTAGAGCCTGCACAGCCCACCTGAGAGCCTGCACAGCCCACCTAGCCCGCACAGCCCACCTAGCCCACCTGAAAGCAACACAGCCCACCTAGCCCACCTGAGAGCCTGCACAGCCCCCCTGAGAGCCTGTACAGCCCAGTTTTTTTTGTCTTAGATGTGCTAGGGGACAGATGATGGGCAGTTAGTGTTGGTGAATAGGTAGTGCAGTTAGTGTTAGTAAAAAGGGAGTGCGGTTAGTGTTGCTGCCCACCTGACAGCCCACACAGTGCCAGGAGCCCACGTGAGAGCCAACACCGAGCCAGCAGTCCACCTGAAATCCCGCACACAGCCCACACAGTGCCAGTACAGAGCCCGCAGCCCACTTGAGAGACCGCACAGTGCTCGCAGCACACCTGAGAGCCTGCTCAGCCCATCTGAGAACCTGCACAGCCCACCTAGCAGTTAGTGTTAGTAAAAAGGGAGTGCGGTTAGTGTTACTGAAAGGGTTGCAGTTAGTGTTAGTGTTGGGTCCTGCTTAACAGAGTATACCTTGTTGTGGTGGCAGGCTTCATATTTTTTGGCCAAAATATATTTCCTTACTCTTAAATATTGAATGCACTGATGACTTGGAATACACTTTTCAATTTTATATATTAATTTGTAAGAGCAGTGGCCGAACTATCGCCATAGCGACCCAGGTGGCCCCTATGGTGCCTGGGGCACAGGAGGGCCCGGCCAGGACAAGTAACCAATGGGTCCCCCTGATACCGTGAGAGCCGCCTGGGTCGCTATGGCATCGCAGGCTGCTTACTGTCACTGGCGGCTGTGAGGAGGAATATGCCACTGTCCAGATGACTGACAACCTGTCAGTGATCTGTGCAGCGGCGCGTTCCTCCTCACAGCCACTGCAGAGTCAATGACAGCCAGCAGCTGCGGTGGAGGAGGGCGGGGTCTGGCTGCGGTAGCAGCGGAGGAGGAGGCGGCAGTGGAGGAGGAGGGAGAGGCCAGGCCCGAAGGCGGTGGAGGAGGCGAGTTTCACTGGTGACAGAGGAGGAGGCGCGGCCCCCCCGGCGGAGAAGGCTGACCGCGGATCGGGGCTGACAGGTAAGGCCTGTCGCGCGCTTGTCGCACGATTTGCATTTTGCGCGATATCGCGTGGTTTGTCGCGCGATATCGCGCAAATGGTTGCATTGAGCAAACTAGAATCGCGGCAAAATCCGCTCCAAAAAAGGTCCTGCTGTAGCGAAGCACGACCCGCGACAGACAGAGCCCCATTGCTATGCATTGGAGAGCGATATCGCGCGGTAAATACCCGCGATATCGCGCGGATTACCTCATGATAAATCGCTCAGTGTGAATGGGGCCTAAGAAGTGTGCAGGGGTGTGCCCAGCCCACTTGAGACCTTGCAGAGCCCACCATAGAGACTCTATGGTGGGCTCTGCAGGGTCACTCTCAGGTGGGCTGCTCAAGGGGTGTAACTAGAAATCACAGGGCCTCATACAAAATTTTGCTATGGGGCCCTGTGATTTCTAGGTACGCCCCTTTGTAAGAGTGTTAAAATAAAAGTGGGTGCACTGAAGGACCTGGTGGGACAGCCAGTGGACAGACTTGGTGGGAGTGTCAGTGGGTGGATTCGGTGGAACAGCCAGTAGACAGGCCTATTGTGTAATGGTGGGGGGGCGGGGGGCCCAGGCCTAAAGCTGTGTAGGGGCCCCAAAGTTTCTGATGGCTCCCCTGCCTTTCAGCATACAGTCTAGAATCCTGAAAGGAAAATTTCAGGCTCCTTGGGTGTGTTGGATTTTGATAGCCTAAGGGTCGATGCTGACTTGAGCAATCCATCTCCTTGACCTTCAACGTAGTGTGGGCCTCAAAGATTATAATAATAATAGCCCTGGCCTTTGTTGTTACCCCATGACCACCTTCCCTTGCAGTCCTTGAACTGTGCTACTGGTTGAGGTTTTCCTTTGGCTAAGTTATTCCTTTTATTATTTATTTATTTACTATGTTACCCTCTTTCTTTCTCCATGGTGTCTTCTATATAAACATGATGGATTGAATTGTTCTCTTGTTATATTGTCTAATAACTTGGTTCTCAACTGGTGGGTCGGGACCCAAAAGTGGGTCGCCACCCCGTGTTCAGTGGGTCGCCACCTGCCTTCCACTTTTCTAGGTGAGAGGCTCATCGGCCTCCCCCATCGCGCAGCACTGTCAGTTCTTACGCTGAGCAGCCATTCAAAATATGGTGCTCAGCGCCCAGTGTCAGCTTGAGGTGGGGTGCACTGGGGGTATGGATGCAAGGGAGCTCCATCCATACATGCATTGCCTTTAGCTCCCTCGCATGTCCTGTAGTAATGCCTGGACTGGAGTGACATCACATTCTGGCTCCCGGCACCTCTACAGGGCGCACAGGGAGCTGTACAAGCAATGCACATATGGATGGAGCTCCGTCACAGCATAGCAGCCCACACTGCCGTGCGTTCCATTGCAATGCAACTTGGGTCGCGACCTAATGCCCGAGGACAAATGTGGGTCTTGAGGTTACACAGGTTGAGAACCACTGGTCTAATAGAAGTGCTGACAACTGCTGTGCATATCATATATGACACACTCTGTCAGTCCCTTTCCTGTGGCACGAAACTGGGTATCAAAAGGATAAACAGTATATAAACATGCCAAAGTATTTTTGGCATGTTTGTATGAATATTCACATGCTCATATGTATGTAATATATTGTATTGTTTATTTTCCTTCAACAAAAAATATTATACAAAAAACTATGGTTAAAATTGATCGGTAGAAAAAACACAGATTTCCTGAAAGCTGAAGCCTGATGCTCTTCCTTGGCTAATGCCGGTTTTCTGAATCCTAATCTCCGACTGCACAAGGACACATGAAGTACTCTTCTCTGCTGCCCGCTGTGGCTCTGCTCCTGCATTAAGCCACCTTTTCACAAAGGGGTGGCTGCAAGCTCCAGCATTGGGTTGAGGTGGGAGGGGAGTGAAAGCAGAGTGAATAACTTGGCCTCCTGTGGGTCTCATTTGCACCGAGGATTTAAAAGGTTTTTAAAAAAAAATGTTTTAGATCAATTGTTATTAGGACAACTGTGTTGGCTTTTTAGCCTTGATACCCTTTAATATCAGTTTCACAGAATGAAATATCAATTCCAGTTTGATTTTCAAATATTTTATTCTTTATTAGACTTCTTTGTTCCTTATCATCAAAAGAAACCATTGAAAAGAACGAATGAGATGCAAAGTCTGAAACATACTCCCCGCCCACCCAAGGTGACTTCTGGCAGACATTTAACATGCATGGAAGACAAAATAGTGACAAACTGCTCTGCATGGGTCCATTGGGGGGACAGGGACAGTTGGGATGAAGGGGGCAAGGGGATGTAGCTGCTCACAGAGAAAGAAGGTGGTGTTCAGTAGATCTGAGATTTCCCGAGAACAGGTACCTGTCCAGAAAATCATAGACGGTGCTCAGAGCTTCCATAAATCAATCACCCAGTCTTGTCTGTGCTACTGCATCTGTGCCATACTTTCTCCACAGCTAACAGATGGGTATATTCCCAGGTATGTCCTATGGATGACATCCTCCTCCCAAAGGTGCAACTATAGCCATGCAATGGAGTCCAGCTGCAGCACTGGCCAAGTACAAAGAGATAATACAAAATCACAGCCCCCTCTTCAAAGTTGCATAAAGATATATCTAAGCAGGAACAATATTTGGCAAACAATTAAGGTAAAATGAATGTATGTGCTTTGCTTGAAATAATGTCTTAAAACTTTAGGGTGAGGAAGAACCTTGAGGATTATTTGGCTTAAACTTGGTATTTGGAAGGACCAAGTACCTTCTTCAATGTTACGCAGTTTTGTTGTTCTAAATTTTACTGTTACATATAGATCCTTTTGGGTAGTTTTCCACTGACCATACTGATAACTAGATCAAAGGGTCCCTGTCAGCAAAGAGATGTGGGAGCTGTGACTGGTGATCGGGAACAAGCATGTGCCTATCAGGTGTCCTGACACCTAACACATGAATGCTATTTGCAGAAGAGTGACCTTCCAAGTAGTGAAGCAAGGATAAGTAAGATAGCCCTGGAACATGCATCTTTAAGAACAATTCAGCAACAACAGTTCCCAACTCTGCCCAGCTGAATGCAGCCAGTATAGGGAGGTCTCTCTTACACTGTTTAATTGTTCCTATCTTTTATATTACAGAGCAAGTAGGAGGGGGAGATTGCAGTGGGGTTGATTAGAGATCTTGCTCTTAGAATAATAGGCTTTTAAAACATGAGGAAAAATTCACCCAACAGTATTTTCTCCTCTAAATAAAATGTTAACAAAATATCAACTTTTGATAACTGTTAGGTGTGTGCAAATATTGCAGACCAGTGACGTTTTGCAGACCTTACCATTATGAAGTCCAGCGTTCTGCAGATTTTATATAATAATACTATGCAGGTCTTCTTCCATAGAGAGAGCTGTAGTCTGTGAATCATCCTTATACATTGTACATCTTCATGTCAGGGACTGGGAGAGGACTGAGCAAAGCTTTTTAGACTGTTCTTACATGATAAGGCTTGTGTAACAGTCTGTATAGAGTAACAAGCAATACAGTGAAAAATAAACTCCAATATCCCCATCATTTTTTGCTCTTTGGGCAGGTACCTAGAACGGTACCCGGACAAGCTTTTGTTCCCTGTAAACCCCCCTCAGTATATGGCTGTGTGTATTGTGCCCACTTGTGCATATATGAAAGTCACAACATGCATAGACGGGCTCTTGTAATGCCCGGTGAAAGCCTGCAAATGGCTTTATGCCATCTAAATACACTAACACCCCATCCCCACCGTTTTGCCGTAAACCGCCGTGTGCGACCTGTTTTGTCCAAGGCCACGCCATGATTGCACAACAATCAAACAGTGACATTGTACTTAACTGATAAATGCAGTGACATTTTTCTAGAAAATAAAGGGACTGACAGTGTGCTCCTTGCTATTAGCTTCTGAGTTTTGGCGTTGGTAACGTCCGTGCGGGTGGTGGGTAGCACAGTGGTGGCTGGTGGCATGCGGTGGCCACTGGATGCAAAGGTCAATCAAAGTATGGTTTACCAGGCCTTAGACATCCAGACCAGTGAAAAAGGAAGAATAAAATCAGTGTGTCCCTGAGTCAAAAGCTCTTACCAAATCATTCCCTTTTTTACCAAGTAGGGGGTCAGAACCCACCACCCTGCTTTGATATGCATAGTCTCCAACAAGCCAACCTGCTCTGCATCAGATACCTTGCAACACTTTACCTTTCATTCATACAGTGCTGTACATACTTTTACATTAACATATACAGTGCCGTGTATACCTATGCAGAGTTCCATGCCTTTTTTCGACTGCAGACATATACCGTGCTATGCATATGTGTTGATATATCTACAGAGTGCTGTGCATACATATACATAGCTCTGTGCCCATAAATCTATACTTCACCCCTCCCGCCCCATATAGATGTGTCCTGTGCTGTACACCTATATTTATCTACAGTTCTGTACATCCATGTTTATACCAAAACTTTGTACACAGATGTGTGCAATGTGTCTCAGTTCTAAATGCAAAGACCATTTCCCCCCGCAATATATATAGAATAATATTACATGTGCATAGATTTCCTCTCCATTTGTGCATTTTTCTAGGCTACAGAATTGTCAGTCCAATGGGAACAAAGTGAGTGTTGACTGTGTCATGAGAGTGTGCATGTTCTGTGTGTAGCCTCTGGAGTATGTGTGAGTGCATAGACCATGGGAGCTAATACAATGAAATGTATTAAAGGGACAGTAATATGTAGAATGACATGGAATGTGCATGTGACTGTGAATGTTGAATGCATGTGAATTATTGGCTTGCGTGGGTATCATTTAAATGGGTTGAGCTATGTCTTTAAAAACCTGAACCAAAAACAAACTGCAGGTATTACGTGACAAAAATTCTGTTAGTACTCACACACACACACAAAAATGTATAGCAGTAGCTTTCATCAGCAACTCATGGATGTCAACACTTTTTAAGTGCAACAGGTTTTAAGCAGGCTTGCAGGTACATATAAACCAGCCCTCGTTCTTTTTTAGGAACTTGATGCTGGTCTGGTGTACTGAGAAACAAAAAATACAATAAATACTATATTTTGCCAGTTAAGAGTTGGCAAAAAGAAGATGACTGTATGCTGCTTGAGTTACAGAGTGCCAAGGGACTCCTCCCAAGAGCCCCCTGCCGTTCTTTACTCCTGTAAGTTGGATTTATGCATGAGCATCCAAAGGTAGCCAGTCAACGCAGAAAGATAAGAGGAAAAGGAATACAAATGTATTATGTATTACAAACTGTGCTTTGGTGCTGCCTACTTTTACCCTGCTGTCCTATGCAATGGGCCACATGTGCCTTATAGTAAAAATGGCTCTGTATGTATAGATAGATAGTACGTGATCATCTGCAGGATTAGGCACAGATCAGAACTCATATAGGGAACTCTGCCAGAGCTCCACAGGAGCAAAGCGCTATCAGACAGTTTGGAATTAAATCTGCTGACCGTATAATAATCCATTATGTAATGGCAATACCGAAGGTGCATGAAAAACACAAGAGAATACTCTATACCATGTTTGTGTGCGTGTCATCAATACAACCAATAAGTAGCTGAATCTTAGCTAACACCTAATTATTGTTTAAATTCTATAGCCAAATATTACATCCTATCATACATTTCCCAGCCTTTTGACAGTTTCTGGGGACACTCAGGCTATGTATGGGACATTTCAGGCCACATGAATTGATGTCGGCTGCACAAAATCTATGCCACACCATTGTCATTGGTTCCTTCCTATTGAAATGATGGAACCAGATAACAAATACCTCTGCTTTGAGTAAGGAGCAGGGTCATTAGGATTTTGTCTCTAGCATTTTTCATAGTCATGGCTGAACCCCATTTGAGAAAATGAAATGAATCATGAAATGCCTAGGTATGTTTCTTATGTGCTTTTTTAATACCCCCATTATGTTTCATTAAGCCCTCTATGACCCTTTTTTGAAGCACAGCCTTTAATGGTCCTTTAAGGTGCTTGCAAGGGGTGTCAATCTGTGCCTACCAAAAAGGAGGAATTTAGGTTGTGCGATTTGGGCTGATGTATAAGCATGTAGTGAATATATGCAAGGCTTGTCTCATCGGACGTCATGTTTTTTGTACAATGTCAGCATTGTGCAGCAGCATCTGTGTGTGTTGTCGACATTGCGCTATTCATGTATACTGTAATGTCATTTGTGTCTCCTTCAGTTTGCCACATGGAGATGAGTTGATTGTCTGGAATATTGTGACTGTGAGATGTCAGTATGAATGTGGTGTCACAGTGTGTTTTATACATCACTAGTTCCGGGAGAATACCAGACCCTACAAGCTGGAAATCCTGACAGTCTCCTGGTAGTATCTGGCAGTAACACTGGAATTCCTCAGGATGCCAGGACTTGGTGAGGATGGCTCATCCGGTGTGTTGGCAGGGGGGGTGGGGATGCTGATGATGGCAGCTGTAAGGTCAGACGTCTCACAATTTAGCTTCATGTTGGTATGGGTTTTGGCGTTGAGGCTGGAGCGGCTATGCAGGCAGGGTATAAGAAGAGACAGAAACAAAAAAATTTAGAAGTCTTAACAAAACTAAGCACACTGCAAAATGCAATGCAATGCAGCCAGGCACATACCTTTAGAATAAACCAATATTCACATTCAGCTCATTTGCAGCATGGTAGTCTTAATGTGATGCCAATTAGGTATTTTTTCATCAAGCATAGTGTATGCATGGCTAAAACTTTATTTTTTTCAGTTTTTGATAAAGCAGAGGTTGGTTAAAACCACTGTTGAGTTTACTTTTTAATGTTTGTATCCCTTTCAGGAGATTTCCCTATGCTTCCTGTCTTAGAGACACAACAAGAAGTAAAAGGAAATCCTTACCAAACCAGGGGAATCACTGTCACTGAAAAAGTGTGCCCATTGGAAGAATTCCCCTTTAGTGCTGTTCTGGTAACTGCTGAAAAATGTTGGATTTCCCAACACTTTGGGGCCAATTTATACATTTACCACCCAGACATACACTGGGAAAATACTGTCCATACAGCCATCTAGTGGGGGCAATGCCATGCGAATGGCATTCGTCCAGCATAACTGAGTGGAAGATTTATAAATTGGCGACTATCTGTCATTGTGACAATGGTCACCAGGAAAAACGTAGAGGGCGAAGTTGCATTACACAGCAATAAAAACCCTATAATGGGAGGTAAAATCACTACATCTGAGATGAGAATATTACTCAAATGTATTGGTGGGGCAATACCCATCTTACGAATTAGATCTTAAATGGGAAAACATTAAAGAGAAGACCTCTTATTATTTATTCAGTTCCGTACAACATTACAGCCATGGTGGTGACATACAGTTCAAATATTTATAATATAGCAGGGCCATGTACTCATTCAAAAATAGTTACTGCGCAGAAAACAAAAGAGGCAAAAGACAACCTTGGTATCCAGTACATGATAGTTCTTATATGTTGGATATGAAGATTGCCTTTTGGCTATTTTCTTTTTCCAAAGTTTGGATCCATCCTTGCTCTCCCACACCGATCAAGACAATTAGAGGGAGCGACTCTCCCTAATGGGCACAGACAGCAATAAAAGCATGACAGAGTTTCTATCCCCTCACCACTCTGCCCAAAAACCTTTGCCTTTAGTGTTACTGCACAGTGCACACAAGTCAGCCGAGATCCACCCAGCTGCGTGAGTGACAGCTGGCTCTGCCTATCTAGAGGCAAAGCCAGATGTACCCGCACCCTCCCCTGTCCGTTCTGACCAGTCAGCGCTGGAGGATCACAGCGAGGAGGGGGGAAACCCTGCAGGGAGCCGGGAGTGATAGTCACATCTCTCTGCGTGGAGATGATCGAGAAGTGAGCGAACGCCGGTATGTGTTCGCTCACTTCCCGATCAATTATACCGACGTGTGACAGTTTCATTGTCACACGTCGGCTCGAACTATGAGGCTGAGTGAAAATCACGCACCTCATAGTTCTCCTTTAAGTAAAAATAAGTAGAAAAAATGTACTTCAAATGCAGTTATTGCCATTTAATTCCAGGTATTATATGAATTTTTTGTCTGTTTCTCAGTAGGTGCATGTCGTATTACTTAACCCAACTCAGCCAAAAAAGGGGTATTTCTGTTACAAAATAATGTGTAGAGATGTGCGATTCGTTTCGGAAAAATTATTTTTCAGACGAATTTTCGTTATTTGGAGATTCGGATGTATCCGAATTTCCGAATAACAGAAATGATGAATGAAAACGAATCCGAATTTCCGAAAACAAAATTTCGGACGAAATTAGTTAGCAGTAGTCTGTACGCAATTTTTTTTAAATGTCACTTTGGTGAAACGAACGAAACGAATACGAAAAGAAAATGAAAATTCGTACACACTACCGCTAACGAATTTCGTCCAAATCCGAATCCCGAAACGAATTGACATTCGGACCCGAATCCCGAAAAACTAAATAACGCAAAATCCGAAACAAAACAAAATGAAACTCAATACATTTTTTGCCGGTGCACATGTCTACTAATGTGTAATCTTCATTCCAGTGGTATATTAATCTCCAAGTTTTGTAGTCAATTTCTTACCATAACATAATTAAATCTAATCTCTGGGCATTACCTCTCCACCACCTTCACCACCACTGCCCCTTACCACCCACCACCACCATCGAATCACTGAGCTTTTAAAAAGAATCCTAAACTAAAACCCATTTACTCCCCAAAGTCTGTAATCACATAACACTCCAGGTCCTGAGTCTTCCATCTTCTTTGCTGCAGTGGAGGAGGGTCCTTCCTAGTGTCCATGTCACTGACTGGGCGACATAGACACTTCCAATTGGTTGTCTGTCCAGACATAAGTCCTTCGGAGGCTCCAGAAAACTACACTTTGCAATGACATCATAGACTACTGTGCTGGATCACCGATCGTCGCTCCCAGAAGCAGTGGCGATTAGGAATATGGACAGTGGAGTTAGCATTTTAAAAATACTGATGATTAGATTAGAGGTGGTTAAGCTTTCCCCATATATGGACTTTAAGCTCCATTATTAAAAGTAATTAACACATTAATCTAAAAATAAAATTTAGAGTTTGAACCTAGCTTTTAGCAAGGTTATGGTTTGCCAACATGAACTGAGGTTTTCTGCTATTCTGCATAAAACTAGCCACATGGGGGCACTATATAAGTGATATATTACAAGACCACATCAGAAATCAACTGGTTTAAGTAGGATGTGGGGTCTGGGAAAAATGTTATCGGTCACCCCCTTTAGCTGCCTGTTCATAATCACAATCTTTGCCATTTATGATTTTCTGCCACTGTTCATATCCAACAGCATTTATCATTCACCTACTCTGATCCGACAAATCCTGATTTCCCTATTGACCATTGATGCACACATCTTTATTCATTAGAAGCAACCAAGGTTAATACTGCTGCCTACAGGATAAATGGACACTAGGCACAAAGAAACTGAAGGCCAGCTTTCTAGATGACATAACCCTCCCTCCAGCTCAGGATAGCTTAATGTCCTCAGGACTCGGATAGATGTCATCCTCCTCTCTGCTATATTTCTTGCTTGAATTAGAAAATGTTTCTTCTATCAACAGCTAATGTTAGATTCAGCCCGGATATTTTAAATCCTGGAGGTCTCTCCAGTCTCTCCTACCTAGTGCAGGTTTTCCCAGTTCATATATTGGTGAACTTTCTGCGACAGTCTGGTGGTCAGCAGTGACTAGCCATCTATATTCCAGTTACACAGCACTTCACTATGCACATCAGGCCAGTACATGTGGGGATTCCTTGTGCCATTATCGGGGCAAGAGTTGTGGCAGTTTCACCTGACCCTGTCTGAAAACTCACTTTTATGAGTGAATGTGGCAGACTAATGCTATGTTGGAGATACTTCTCTTCATTGTATCAGAGACTGTTAGAGGAAGTATTGTCAGAGACAGGCTGTAATTAGCGGAGCACTGTGTGAAAATGTTTTTTTTTTGTCTCTCTTAATCTGAGTCATAATGCTGGCTTTATACAAGAGCATTTTATACAAACATGTGACAATAGTACTTTGTATAGTGGTGTCAGTGATGCATCTGATTCCTCCTGTAACAAATGGCTGCACATTATATTGGCACTGAGTGTATCTGTAAGTAATTTGTTTTACATAAAGAAGAGACTTGTTTTATCTCGGGTAGTCTAGCACCTTTATGCCTGCACTCTTTCTGCTGTTTTTCTGATGTGGCCGGGAGTTAATGACACACTTCTGTGGCGTGCCTAGGTGTGAGCATCATGGGTGCGCTCGCTCTTTCACAAAGGCCTCTTTCTTTTCCTTGGTTCTCTGTAGAACCTCATTGAAGCTTTTATGACAGCAGTATCTGTCTGTAGGAGTTTATCTTTATGACTTCTATTGGTAGATTCTTTGTGAAGACTCACTGGTGGAGTTTAGCTTCAAAGGCTCATGACAGCCTTCTCTGCATGACTACTGCTTGCAGCCTAAGTACAGCTTGTTAACAAGCTGCTGTTCCTATAGAGTTGCGTGCAGTGACCTGTGGCCACAGAGACATTGCTGCTGATTAAACCCTTGTAGACCTCCAGCTTTTTCTCTGAGCTCTGAACAGATTACACAGTGCAGTCAGGACTCACACAATCTAATCAGGGTTCTGACAGCAGGCTGAGTAGGAGGCGGCTGTAGCAGCAGAAAAGCTCTTAAGCAGTCTTATATCCCTTCTATCAGCAGGGAGAGGAGCAGGTTCTGTGCAGGGAGCAAGAGCTGCTATCAGCATTCAGGCTGATTGGCAGCATCTTCATAGTCGCCACTTAGTACCCCTGCTGCACTATCACCCCCCTATAATGTAATA